ACCACCAGAAGGAAGCTGTCCTTATCTTCATCGATTTTAAGAAAGCATTTGACTCGATCAATCGTGACACCATGTTTAAGATCCTACAGGCATATGGTGTTCCTCTGCAGATTGTCAACGCAATTAAGATTATGTATGACAACACTAAGGCTACTGTCCTCACACCCGACGGGAGGAAACAGACACCTTTAACATCAATACAGGCGTCTTGCAGGGTGACCCCCTTGCTCCGTTTCTTTTCATTGCTGTGTTAGACTACGCCTTACGTAGAGCAGTAAGAACTCATGACGGCATTACTTTAAAGAGAAGACAGAGCTCGCGTCACCCAGCAGTGGTGCTACCTGACCTTGACTTTGCTGACGATATTTGTCTTCTAGAAGACACTATCAAAGCTGCTCAAGAGTTTCTGTACAGGGTAGAGCATGCCACACAGGATATTGGACTTTATTTAAATGCACTTAAGACTAAATTTATGCACCTTAACCCTCCAACAAGGCCCCAGGCCTTGCTGTCTAGTGATGGCTCTACTATTGAGCAAGTGGATGACTTTAAATACCTTGGCAGTTATGGTAACACAGTCCATGATGTGAAATGTAGGATTGGGCAAGCTTGGGGGGCTTCTAATGCCCTAACAAAAGTGTGGAAATCCCCAATAGCCAACGCTACCAAGCTAAAGGTCTTTAAAACCTGCGTTGAGTCAATCCTGCTCTACGGAGCTGACTCGTGGTCTCTGACAGCATCCTTGTGTAAACTTCTGGATGGGAACTACACCCGCCTGCTTCGTGCAGCCCTTAACATTTCATGGAGGAGTCACGTGACCAACAACCAACTTTATGGAAATATGCCTCGGATTACAACAGTCATCCGCAACCGTAGGCTGTCGCTGGCTGGCCATGTCATGAGACACGACGAAATGGCAGGGTTGGTACTTCTCTGGTCACCAACAGAAAAGCGGAGACGCGGTCGCCCTTCTTTAACTCTGAAGAAGGTGATAGAGGGGGACATAGGTCTGGGCGGTGCTGAACTGTCCTCTGTCATGCGCGACAGGAACTTGTGGAGGCAGTACATCGTGTCACCTGATTGAAGGATGAACTGAACTGAACTGAACTGAGTGCCCTGCGCTGAACGAAACCCCGAGATTTTCTTACCCCCGGCATTTGACCATGGTCTAGCATTGTTGTTGTTGTTGTTGTTGTAGTAGGGACGAAAAATGTAACCCTTTGAGTTTGAGGAGTACTTGTTGTAGCTATAGTTAAACTTTGAACGGTTGGACTGAAACCTGTCCCTAGCCCTAGAAGTGCTCGAAGGGGCTGGCTTATAAGCCTTACTCAAAGTGCGTCTAGCCTAATCGGCTGCATTAACCTTCTCCAAAAAGGTGTCTCCAAATTAAGAAGGGGAAAGAATCTGAAGTTCCCGAGCAGGTCGCTACATTTTTGAGCGAGGACTTGACTCACAAATTCGGAGTTTAAAGAGAGGAAGAAAAAACTTTTCCCACTCCACCTAATGTTGAATTAGCACTTCGGGCGCCGATTCTAGACCCAGTAGTGGCTAATATGATCAAGCATGATACCGTAAACACTGATAAGAATTTTAGTGATTGCCAGGATAAGATGCTCATGGCTGCTAACCTTTTAGTAGAGTTGTTGGCAGCAGTTAAGGGTTCGGACCATCCTCTAAACCGGATGCTGTTTGCAAAGCGATAGAATCGTCTTTGGTGTTTTTTGGGATCAGCTTCCTCTACTATGACTCAGTATAGACGTGAAATGTGTGGCAAGGACATGAAACAAGATATGAAACATGTCTTCAAGACCGATTTGCCCACCGGTTCCTCCAAATACTTATTTGAAGTTATTATCGTAGGGATTATCAAACGACAAGGAGTTACCTTCGTCAGAGTCAGAAAAGGTGATTTTGCCCTCCTCCGAACACTTCCACTTCAGAACCTGGATGCTCTCGCCCGGAACCGACTACACCGGCTCGGCTGGTCGACGCTACCGCCCCGTCAACGTCCCGAGGTTGACGGGATGAACTGGACGCCTGAGGAAGTCCCAGGCTGGAACTGATCCACTGAAGAAAAGAGGCAGCGTCGAATCCAGGCGGGAAGGGTGTTTCTGATGGAGGTGGGGGTGGAGGAGACTTTTCCCCACCAAGCTTCGGCACGGTCGGGGAGCCCAACTCCTCCGAGCCCGGAGGAAATTTAGGCCGGGGCGGCGGCAGTTCCGCGCCGTCTCCTTCCTTGACCGATGTTCCCGGTGCCAACGCCGAAGGGGCATTTCGCTCCCAAGCGGCGGATGTTCCCGGTGCCAACGCCGAAGGGGCATTTCGCTCCCAAGCGGCGGAAAGAGGTTGGAGTTCTTCTCTTTTTCCTCCGAACCTCCAGCTGTAGGAGCGGGGACTTTTCGTTCACCCGACTCCTCTTCCTCCTGTCCGGAGGCTTGTGCAGACACGCCTGTCTTTTCCACGGCCATGAATTTTTCCTGACTAGCGTTGGGAAACAGGCCGCTTCTCTTGCCGTTACGACCCGTCTGGTCCTCCGAAAGGCTACCTGAATCGCCCTCGTGGGCAGAAGACTTCGTTTTATCCTTCTTTTAGGGCCTAACGCCGAAAGAAAATCCGAAAAAATAAGGAGTAGGGAAACGAACGTGCACCCCTCTGCGAACGCACAAGGAAAATGGCGGCGAACAATGTCATTACGTCATGATATCCCGTGATGCTTTGCGATTAGAGCTTTGTACACGTGCGCCACCTAGCGATAAGCATAGGAAATACTGCATAAGGTAAATGATATACCCAAATAGGGAGTGTGCAGGTATAATCATATTTGCATATTCTTGACGTAAGCCTAGATCTTAAATGCAATGTTTATGCCATGAAGCTGTAGGCAATGCATGTCAAGATAAACAATACTACTCACCCTCGGGCCCAATGACATACTGATTTGGATCCACTGATTCATTGCCAAAGAACCCGTCTTGCGTGTGGTTAGAGTACAATCCTTGAAATTCTGGGACGACATTTTCTGTCAGGTTAACTTGAACAATTGGAATCACACTGCCAGGCCTGTATGAGGAAAGACATTGTTCAGAACAATCTTACTAATATATCATTTGTACTGAAATTTTCTAGATATTCCGCATCTAATGCATTCCAGGATGCAATTAACCAAACGAATCTGAGACAAATCTAAAAGCAGGAGCATTATATTGATTATATTTTAACAGCAATGCCATGGTTTTAGTGATATAGTTGATAAGGGTATTGCCAATACAAACCTCAGTGCTATGACGGCTATACCGACAATCCATCTGGCGATTCTGCTGTTGATTCTCCACAACTGTAAAGGCAGTTTCTTTCAGTCAGTATCGAAATCCAAACACAAATAAGTCAATGGTTTCTACTCGAGGGTACGTATGTTTCATCATTATCTTCTCTTTGCCGTTACAAGCTGCCACAGTACCCCAACGATATTAAAGGAAAGGTAAAGAAAAACCATGGTGGATTTTGTATTAAATCGGAAGAAAACGTTAAGATCATCATCTCACATTGCACTTTTAGTGGATGCCATAGTAGATGCTTTGCCTTAGTAGATACCATACTTTGTACCCTGTACAACTGTTGTGCAATAAAGTTATCTTGTCTTTAAGGTCATCGACGTGAGCTAGATTTTGTAACAAACATAAGACCTCTACATTGCATGGTTTACCAGACAAGCCGCGGTCATAAGTTTTTTTTTCAATAAACATTTTTGATAACAAAGTAACAAAATATGTACAAAATACAACACAATATACAAAGTTACAGTTGCAGCCTATAGGACATCTTAGATAGGTATGTGTACGTGTAGGTCATAAGATAGTGTTGCTCACCGTATTGATGATGTAGTTGACGAGTGTCTGCCTCAGTCCGGCGTCTCTGAAGACACGTGTCCATCGTGGGTTTAAGAAGATAAAGGCCAGATGTATAGTGACAATTCCTGTGTAAATGGTGTGGTAAATAAAGTTATTCATGCAAGTTTTTTTTTTTTTGCATAGCTGGATGTTCTTTACTTAATCAACCATGGAAGCACCACCGTATGTTTAAGTAGATCACATATTTTCAAGTTATATCTGTATCATGATTTGATTTCTTTTTAATGTTATTATGTTAGTCATGCATAATGTAACAATATCACATTTATTGAGTAAAGAGACTCTTTTTGAACTGATTTAATTTTTTTTCAATTCATTATTTTTGTTTAGGGAAGTCCTACGAAAAACCAAATAGGTTGCGGACCTTCACGACATATTGTTCATTTTCTATTCCATTATGCAACAATAATCAAATGAAAAACAAAATGAAAGGAAAACGACAATAAGGAAATTAGGACACATGTGTAATTGATGTATTACGTATAGTAGAATATGCAGCAGGTTTGGTTTGATTCCTAAATAAGCCTACAACAAGATGTAACAACAGCCCTCTACCGGCCCTCTTAAGACTGTTGAACGAAATGAAATGATAGTGCTCTTAACTCTGTAAATGCCTCTCTTGTGCAAGTTGTATATGAAATAGTTTAATGTAATGTTGAAATGTACAGTACTAATGTGAATGACCAAAATTTGAATTTCACTATGCTAAATGTATGTAATATCGTGTAAATATTTTTAATGTGTAACTCTATTACCACATCTTGACTCCAACATTGTGCAGTCGTTAATGTTTTTAAAACAGGATGTACATCTTTGAACGTAATTCAGCTTTATGCTGCAATGTTCTTGATTTTAGCATGATTGATTGATTGATTGATTGATAAATATACATCATGCTTACGGTGGCATTCAAAGGTCCCGTCTCCGAGGAAGCCAGCCCTACATTCACAGCCCACTTGTCCATTTCCTCTGACAACGCAGTCAGCATTTGGATCACACTGGGGAGGTCTGACCACACAGATTCTGTCTGTAGCTGAAAAATACATTCATTAACATTCATTAACATTCTGAGTTGTAAACGTACAAGATATTGCACATGGTCCACCTCTTACGGATGCGCCTCGGGTATCCCCTAACACCACATTAGCATCTCGTACAGTTTTAATTACTGGTATTGTATGTTCAATGTATAAAATGTACTGTACATAATTGAATTTATAATTTATGATTTTGTATTGTATTGTCTAGGAGGTCAACTTGCAAACTTTATACACCTGTTTTGCCCTCCCTTCCTCTTGTGTTTCTTGTGGTGAATTCAAATAGATAAATAAATTTGAATACCAGTTTATTGCCCAGTCAAATTACATCACCATACAGTTCATTCATAGCTGTTTTAACCCCAAAGATAGATACTGTTGTAGTAGATATTCGTGATACATATATGGATTTGGAAATGACCTACATGTAAGGTTTATCATAGTTTTTTTGGCAGCTGTTTATTTGTTATTGCATTGAAAGCAAATTTAAGTACATAATGACTTGTGACAACCCCTGCATGTTATACATCGGGATATGTATTAAGACAATATTATAGATTAGAAACTCCTCCAATTATTGCAAAAGTTCATACCTATCTCATACTAGCCACCCACTCTTGTATTAGTTTTATGAAAGTGTGGTTAATAAGTAGAACTCCATGTTAGCATAATTATAGTCTTAATTTACCACATTCTGTATTCATTGTTTTTTTTGGCAATGTCTGTTTGCAATTAGCCCTCGGGCACGAACTCGCAATAAAGAACTCAATATGCACTAGTATACATATATATATATAGTATATGCTATGCTTTGCACCCTGTAAAACTGCTGTGCAATAAAGTTATCTTTATCACCTGTGCAGTTGAAGCCGTCCCCTTCAAAGCCATCAGTGCAGTTGCACGAGAACGACCCGTCAGTATTTGTACAGGTGGCGTTGGCATGACACGGTGACAGGGCACATTCGTCAACGTCTGAAACCCAAACAACATAGCTTAAAGAACACTGTAGTGTGGCAAATCAATTCTATTTCCTTTACTTACTCAAGACCATAAATTCCTTGAGACTACAAAAGATCATTGCTCACTCCACATTCATATATTTTCTCACCTGTACAAATAAAACCATCTCCTGTATATCCATCGTCGCACGTACAGTCAAAAGACCCTTTTGTGTTGGTGCAGTTTGCATTCAAGTCACAAGTGGAATTGTCTGCACATTCGTCTATGTCTGAAATATCAAAGATACTTTATAATACCACATGTGCCACAACAATTTGGGGGATACATTTTGTGTATTGATACGGAAAATATATTTTGACAATATCTATATATCATAGAAGGCAACGATGTTGAATGATTATGTGAATTTTCTAACCTGCACAAGTAAACCCATCGCCTGTATATCCAGTGTTGCACGTACAGTCAAAAGACCCTTCTGTGTTGGTGCAGTTTGCGTTCACGTCACAGGTGGAGTTATCTGCACATTCATCTATGTCTGAAATATAAAAGATACTTTATAATACCACACTGTCCGTATTTGCTGTAGAACCCGGTTAATAACGTGTGCTAAAGCAATTTGGGGAATGTGTTTGTTGATGACACGGGAAATATATTTTGACAATGTCTATGCATCATGAAAGGCAACTTTGTTGGATGATATTGTGAATTTTCTCACCTGCACAAATAAACCCATTGCCTGTATATCCAGTGTTGCACGTACAGTCAAAAGACCCTTCTGTGTTGGTGCAGTTTGCGTTCACGTCACAGGTAGAGTTATCTGCACATTCGTCTATGTCTGAAATATCAAAGATACTTTTTCTACCACACTGTCAACATTTGCTGTAGAACCCGGTTGATATATAGCGTGAGCCGGAGGAATTTTGGGGATGCATTTTGTGTATAATACGGGAAATATATTTTGACAATGTCCATGTATGATAGAAGGCAATGTTGTTAAAATATCTAATGTATTTTCTCACCTGCACAAATAAACCCATCGCCTGTATATCCAGTGTTGCACCTACAGTCAAAAGCCCCTTCTGTGTTGGTGCAGTTTGCGTTCACGTCACAGGTGGAGTTATCTGCACATTCGTCTATGTCTGAAATATCGAAGATACTTTCTATACCACAATGTCAATATTTGCTATCACACATGATTAATGTGTGCCACAGCAACTTGAGGAATTTATTTCGTGGGTGGAGATTATCCAACGTTGAATCAGGTGGCATTAGCAACGCAGCTTTTGTCCTACTATTCAGTATTTTCTGAAATGGAATATTTCCGTCAGGATAATTAAAACTATGCTATCACAAAGGTTTGCGAAAAGCAGTCAGTACAATCACTATCCTCAATGGATAGTGACCTAGCAAGCGAGAAAAATACACGAAGCTTTCAGCAAGCTGACAACAAATATTTGAAGTGCACCAAAATCCATAGACGCAACTGCCAACACACACAGCAAAATATAGGGCTAATTCTACCAGACTATTTGCCATGACGAACCATGTGCCTAGCATCTAGCCAACCAGGTAAGCAGCATTGGACCTACACTACACTGCCACATTGCTAAGCAAGAGGAAAGTGGATAAACACAGATAACTCCTGATTTTTCAACCTCTAGTTGTAAGGCAATTGTCTTCGATCAAGCAAATGCCACCAAGCAACCCATTCAACTGCTTAAACAACATGTGCAATTCAAGCAGTTGAAATAAGCTCCGTGCGTTGTGTCGATATCTAAACCATGTACTTCTTACCTGAGCAATTAAAACCGTCCCCTTGGTAGCCATCAGAACATTCACATATGTAGGATCCGTCGGTGTTAGTACAGGTTGCGTTTGTGTCACACGGAGAATTCTGACACTCGTCTGTATCTGAAGTACGTAGGGAAATGGAGAAATAGCTCAAGAAGGAAAATGGTCCTTAACACTGGAACCAAGCTTTTCTGTATTGAGGTGCCGTCGGAAAATTCAGGTACAATGCAATTTTTCAATGTCATCCTTAAGCCTGGAGCCAATACATTTCTACGCAATGATGAGGATGACATTTCTACGCAAAAGTGCTTTGTGCAAAACCTTACACATCTATGGCCACCCCCGTTTACGGTTTTCAAAGGGGACAAGGTCGGCAAATCAGTAACAGTAACCTGTGCAGTTGATGCCGTCTCCGTCATATCCGTCTAAACAGCCGCAAATGAAAGACCCGATTGTGTTGGTGCAGGTTGCATTGTCGTGGCAGCTTATAGTCAAACATTCGTCTATGTCTGAAACGAGAAAGATCTACCGTGTTGATTGCCATAGTCTTTTTCCAGTGTCTGAACAATGCTGTAACATCTCAACACCGGTTGAACCCAAAGTTAGTTAGTTTAAGTCCTTCCCGCACTGAGTGGTGCATAGGGCGGCGTCTATCCCCGGTTCAATACCCCTTGGGCCACACAGTTGTGCAATCACTACATCAGGGTCTAGTCCGCTGGTAGTGGTGCGTGTTTAACTACCATACTCGTTCCCTAATGTTGAGTGCTAAGCAGAGAAAGTAGTATTTTTTAATTCTTTGGTATGACTTGGCCGGGGATCGAACTCACGACCTACCTAGTGCAAGACGAGCTCTCTGCCATTTTGGTCATTGCACTGATCAATGCGAATCCAAAATACACAACGTCACGATGTTTCACAATTGCCTCTCCCATCTTCACAAGGTAAAGACTGAAAGGACTAGCGTGCGTGCTAGAATCACCAAACTATGCTTCTAAAGAATGGTAGTATATAGGTTAGCTGTGACTTCTTACCCGAGCAGTTGGTACCGTTCCCTTGGTAGCCATCAAAACATACACAGGTGTAGGAGCCGTCGGTGTTAGTACACTGCGCATTCACGTCACAGGGAAGGTTCTGACATTCGTCTGTATCTAAAGTTGGAAATTAAGTGCAAGGAGAAACTCTTGACAAGTGTACTGAGCTTAGATCTAGAACTGAGTCGCTATCGGTAGGTTTGCATGACTGTGTACTGTACGTATGTCTCATCTTGAAATAAATCGTCGGTGTCCAAATTGAGAGAACGCGTTATTACAATTACCAGCTACAGTACAAACATGTATCGTAAAGCAGTGTGGTAAACGGCAATATGATATTTGCAACCCCACGCACATTGGGCAGTGTCAAAAGAGTATGAAACCAATACACCGATACACCCGAAACAGAATTACAATGAAGAAGAAGAATTAACTTCAAAACCAACTAAGTCAAGCCAAATGCCTAATGAAACTAGGCCAAAGCCGTCTATGCTTAAATCAAAAGACGCACAGCTCTTCCCTTTCTACACAAATGTAGCAAGCAATACTGGAGCAAAAACTGAGAATACTATATGGCCAATGAATGAAGCTACAAAAGAACTGCATCTTGAGTTGAAGCAGACTTTTAGGCAATGAGAACTACAGTGCGACAATCCAACTATATAACAATGAATCGTCTGAACCTGTGCAGTTGAAGCCGTCTCCTTCGTACCCAACTTGGCATGTACATATGTAAGACCCGTCAGTGTTGGTGCAGGTTGCGTTACTATGACAAGGATCGTTCCAGCACTCATCTTTGTCTAGATATAAAAATATATAATAATAAATAATAAAAATAAATAAATACCAATTAGAGTGAAGCCCAGTTGCTCTAAAGGTGATAAATTACGAACGTAAGCAGCATAACACACATAGACCTTACAAAAGTCGCTGTACTTTTGTTGTGTCAACAAAGCTCTGTATAATGAACACAAAAGTACCAGACTAGAAACTGCCATTAACAGCAGCAGATGAGAAGCAGTGGGTCAGCAGCATGAGGTTGTCATGTTTAGTGCCACTTTATGTTGATTTCTCTTGTTCGGGGCTAGAAGAGGAGGGTAGAAGGTGATTTAGATGGGGTACAATAGGTGGTATGTAGCTGTACTACTGCAGTATGTAGCTGTACTCCTTACCAGTGCAGTTAAAACCATCCCCTTCGTAACCATCCCTGCAGTGACATGTGAAAGACCCGTGTGTGTTGGTGCAGGTCGCGTTCGGATGGCAGGGATAACTCCGGCACTCGCCTAGGTCTGGATATGAAAACAATGGTAAGTAAATGCATCAGTAATGAGCATCATTAGCCCAATTCAACGAAAATGGCGATAATCGGCCAAGCATAGCTCTATAGTAGCGAGAAGCCAGGATTAAATTCTCATAACGCCACATTACCGCATCTACATTGTATTTCATCTAAGACAAAAGCTAAAAGCGGCAGACATCTGCGACTACAAAGCCATTCAACCGGTTCCACGACTAGCACCATCAATACGCGCGAGAGAAACGCACCTTTTCTCGACAGCTATTTTTATGTGCCTAGAGATGGGCATGGTATGCAATATACATGTACCACTACTACTATGCAATGCGAATATAACTATGCAAATGATGGAAGCAATGAAAGGTGGATACAACTATTTCTACCAAGTACGAGATGTCAAACATGGAAAGCTTGCAACTACTACAGCAGCAGCATGGACTAGAACAATGTTCCCAAACTGCAACCAAACCACAACGGCAAATGTTGTTAACCTGTACAGTTAAAACCGTCTCCTTCGTACCCAACTTCACACGTGCAAAAGTAAGACCCATCAGTGTTGGTGCAGGTGGCGTTGGCATGGCAAGGATCGGTCTGGCACTCATCTATGTCTATAATCGCGATAAAAGAGCTTCTTAAAGACCTTCACTGTTTCCGTTATTTTTTCCCCAAACATAAAGCACACGTCTGTAATGCCAAACTAAAATAAATTGCATCAAAAGAGATATAGTAGCAAACATTTGAGGTGTACAATTACCGAAAAGCAATTGATTAATGCCAGACAATTAAAAAAATCTCTATAGGCCCAATCTACAAGGAAGACGCATTTTAACTACATTCTTGTTGTATGTTGCCCGAATACAATGACCAAAGGTGTGAACCTGTGCAGTTGAAGCCGTCTCCTTCGTACCCAACTTCACACGTGCAAAAGTAAGACCCGTCAGTGTTGGTGCAGATGGCGTTGGCATGACAAGGATCGGTCAGGCACTCGTCTTCGTCTATTATCGTGATAAAAGCGCTTAAGGACCTTCGCTTTTTCCATTCGTTTTATCCCAAACATAAAGCACAGGTCTGTTTTGTAACTATCTAAATTAAAGTGCAGCAACAGGGATATAGAAGCAAACATTTATAGCGTTGCAGAATACCGAGAGGCAACTATAAAAAATGTCGCGCAATAAAAAAAACAAACAAGAGAATTGTAGATAAGCACTACAAGAACTACAGTTGAACTACATTCTTGACCCATACAGCCCGAATATAACGACAAATGATGTTAACCTGTACAGTTGAAGCCGTCTCCTTCGTACCCAACTTCACACGTGCATATGTAAGACCCGTCAATGTTGGTGCAGGTTGCGTTGGCATGACAAGGATCGGTCTGGCACTCGTCTTCGTCTATTATCATGATAAAAGAGCTTCAAGACCTTTGCTTTTTCCGTTTGTTTTATTCCAAACATATAAATCACACGTGTGTTATGTCTATAACTATCTAAATTAAAGTGCAGCAAAAGGGATATGGGAGCAAACATTAGCGTTGTAGAATACCTAAAAGCAACTATGAAAAATGTCTCGCAATGAAAAAAAAACAAGCGAATTCTAGATACGCACTATAAGAACTACAGTTGAACTACACTTTTGACCCATACAGCCCGAATACAACAACAAATGATGTGAACCTGTGCAGTTGAAGCCGTCTCCTTCGTACCCAACTTCACACGTGCATATGTAAGACCCGTCAGTGTTGGTGCAGGTGGCGTTAGCGTGACAGGGATCGGTCTGGCACTCGTCTTCGTCTATAGTCACGATAAAAGAGCTTAAAGATCTTGACTTTTTCCGTTCGTTTTTTTCCCAAACATATAAATCACACGTGTGTTATGTCTATAACTATGTAAATTAAAGTGCAGCAAAAGGGATATAGGAGCAAACATTAGCGTTGTAGAATACCGAAAAGCAACTATGAAAAATGTCGCGCGCGCGCGCAAAAAAAAGAGAATTCTAGATGAGCACTACAAGAACTACAGTTGAACTACATTCTTGACCCATACAGCCCGAATATAACGACAAATGATGTGAACCTGTGCAGTTGAAGCCGTCTCCTTCGTACCCAACTTCACACGTGCATATGTAAGACCCGTCAGTGTTGGTGCAGGTGGCGTTGGCATGACAAGGATCGGTCAGGCACTCATTTATGTCTATGATGATAAAAAGTGTTAAAATGACACGAGGACCTACAAACTACATTCTGGATTCACCGCCCCAAGCACAATAACAAACCGTTTGCGGAAGCACTGCCTCCCGGGCGCTTCAAGCTCTCATCTAAGCAAAACACCACAGCTAATATATACGAATTGAAACCACAAACAGTGATTTCCGCCAGCTGTTAAAACAACAATCAAGATATATATACGGATTCGTCTTTTCGTTTTTGCCAGCACTACTTGGGGGGAAATTTATGGCAACGGTAGATAACCTGTAATCCAGCGCACCACTTTCAGAAACAAGAAAATGAAAAGCTCCGCGCATAACTACAGGCAAAAGACTCAACATTACCTTTAACTGATAAAACTATGCAGCTGTATCCCACCTAAAGCAAAATTATGATTTTATAAAGAAAGTGTTCTGAACCTGTGCAGTTGAATCCGTCTCCTTCGTACCCAACTTCACACGTGCATGTATAAGACCCGTCAGTGTTGGTGCAGGTTGCATTGGCGTGGCAAGGATCGGTCTGGCACTCATCTATGTCTACATATTAGAAACAAGGTTTGAAAGCTATCAGTATATTTGCTTTAGGAGAAATATGATTAGAATATGAAAGTCACGTAAAAAACAGTAATTTTATCCAACAAATATAAAGCTGGTACTTTCAGCAGGTATGGAATATACTTCTTACCCCTGCAAGTAGGTTCTTTTATAGTATATTAATTAACACCGGCCAAATCATTAAACGACAATGTGTATGAACCTGTGCAGTTGAACCCGTCTCCTGCGAACCCAACTTCACACGTGCATATGTAAGACCCGTCAGTGTTGGTGCAGGTTGCATTGGCGTGGCAAGGATCGATCTGGCACTCATCTATGTCTACATATTAGAAACAATGTTTGAAAGCTATCAGTATATTTGCTTTAGGAGAAATATGATTAAAATATAAAAGTCATGTAAAAAACAGTAATTTTATCCAACAAATATAAAGCTAGTACTTTCAGCAGATATCGAATATACCTCTTACCCCAGCAAGTAGGTACTTTTATAGTACATTAACACAGGCCAAATCATAAAATGACAATGTGTACGAACCTGTGCAGTTGTAACCGTCTCCTGCGAACCCAACATCACACGTGCATATGTAATACCCGTCAGTGTTGGTGCAGGTGGCGTTGGCATGACACGGATCGGTCTGGCACTCATCTATGTCTAGAACGATGAAAAAAATTGCAGCGATTATCTTAATGGCAGAAATTTAGAAGTGAATGAACCATTCTATGCTGTTATAAGTAACAGTGTTTAGTGGCTCTGCAAGAAAATATCATGGTTATCAATACGATGCGTATGAAAGCCATCAAAAATGGCCAGTGTTCTTACCCGTGCAATTGAAGCCATTCCCAAATAGCCATACAAACTCTTGCATGTATATGCTATCAAGCAATACGGAACAATATGTACATTTCAAGCAGTTGAAATAAGCTCCAGATCCGTGCGTTGTGTCGATATCTAAACCGAGTATTTCTTACCCGAGCAATTAAAACCGTCCCCTTGGTAGCCATCAGAACATTCACATATGTAGGATCCGTCGGTGTTAGTACAGGTTGCGTTTGTGTCACACGGAGAATTCTGACACTCGTCTGTATCTGTTATAGATGTACATGTCAGGAATAGGTCCAGATGGACACAGCTGTGTAAAGCGCTGCCATACGATGCCAGAATCAAAGCAAAATGATCACTACTGTATCTTAGTCCCATTTGCACTATCAAAAACTACTGTTCTATACACCACATATACAGAGGCAGCAAGCTGATACGCATGAAGCCACCAATTATATGAAGTAACACCATGATATTGTTCATACAATCATCTTTTGACTGCCATTGACTGGTTATCCACACTTTAAACAATAAGAAGAATAAGAAGACCTACAACTCCTGCGACTGCGAAAAGAAGATGCACAACAGCACCCACTACGGTCTGCATCGGATCTACGTAATAAGGCCGGCAATAATACCCCAAAATATTTAATAATAACCTGTACAATTGACACCGTCCCCGTCATAACCCACTAAACAATCACAAGTAAAAGATCCGATTGTGTTGGTGCAGGTTGCATTGTTGTGGCAAGTCGTTGTGTTCGAACATTCGTCAATGTCTGGAAGGAAAACGGGCTATAATGTTGATGGACGAAGCTAGCGGTTTACGCAATTGACCTCATCTCCAAGAACCAGCACATTTCCCCAAAAGCAACAGGAACTTATCGCAAGCTTCAAACTCTCATGATCATCTACATAAAAACCGTCTCCTTTGTATCCTTATTCACGCATACAATTGTAACTCTTCTATGCGACTGAAAACGTTGCCTTGTCCACCAGCTGCTATGAGCGGTAACGATTTGCTGGCAATAACGAATGACTTCTACTCAAATGTACTACTTTCAATATAAAAAGATGCAAAACTCCAATAAAGCTTAAGCAACACTGGCAACTACAGGTAAAGAACAACACAAGCACCTACAAGGTTTTCAACTATGCACCTCTACCATAACTCTGGCAAAATAATTATTTAAAGAAATTTTGTCTGAACCTGTGCAGTTGAAACCGTCTCCATCGTACCCAACTTGACAAGCACATACATAAGACCCGTCTGTATTTGTGCAACTCGCGTAAGCATGACAAGGGTCGGTTAGACACTCGTCAATGTCTATGGTATAAAAAAAACATAACAATGTAATCAAACGCCGGCCCCTGATAGTTGGCGATTGGCGTGAGATAAAACTGCATGAGAAATTGAAAGAAAAATGCTATACAGCACATCACAGATGCGACAAAACACTTCAACGTCACACTCCTGCAATAATGAACACAAAGACTCTGCAGTCGACAAACCATACACTATAAGCAAAGAAAGCCCACCTTCTAGAGACAAGTTTCACGTGTGCGTACGCTAGAGTTTGTAAAGTTAAAACGACATATTATATGGACCTGTGCAGTTGAAGCCGTCTCCTTCGTACCCAACTTCACACGTGCATGTGTAAGACCCGTCAGTGTTGGTGCAGGTTGCATTGTCGTGACACGGATCGGTCTGGCACTCATCTATGTCTATATGGAAGAAAAGAGCTCGAGAGTCAGGATTTTTCCATTACTTGAACACGATTTGCTGCAGTCCATACTTATATATGGAGCACAACCTGTGTTGATTCCTCTTGCCCAGAAAAGAAACATATTTAAAGACATTGCACTTCAAAATATACACAGAGGTACTCGATGGTAGTGTAGTACTTCTTACCGGTACAACTGAAGCCGTCTCCAGCATAGCCCACTAAACAATCACAAGTAAAAGACCCGATTGTGTTGGTGCAGGTTGCATTGCTGTGGCAAATTGTTGTGTTCGAACATTCGTCAATGTCTGCAAATGGAACAAGCTATAATGTCAATGGACGCAACGACAGCACATTGAAGTCCTTCTATCTATACATTGGCGCGGTTGAGCAGTACATTTTGCTCTACAGGACCAAGGCAAATCAGAGACGTAAGACAGGTACAATTCCTCTGTAATCCAGCCAAGCCAAGCTGTCCAAAAATTTACTACATTTAGATGTTCCTGTATCAGCACTTTCTTAAAGAAGCATAGCCTACGGGCGTTTCAAGCTCCCGTCTACGCAAAGCACCACTGTGACAGCTAATCTCTGTGACTTAAAAACCACAGAGAGTACATTCCACGAGCAACAATCAAGTAGCAAGACATACGGATTCGTCTTTCCGTTTTTGCCAACACTACATGGAGAATACTGATGGCAACTGCAACTAAGATGTAATTCACAGCACCACTTTTGAAATTGCAAAGCTCCAAGAAAGCAACGCGCGTAACTACAGGCAAAAAAGAACGGCATTTTTAACTGATAAAACTATGCAGCTGTATGTTCTAACTCTAGCACAATCATAATTTGAAAGAAGAGCCGTCTGAACCTGTACAGTTGAAGCCGTCTCCTTCGTACCCAACTTCACACATACATGTGTAAGACCCGTCAGTGTTGGTACATGTCGCATTGGCATGACACGGATCGGTCCAGCACTCATCTATGTCTACGTGGAAGAAAAGCGCTCGAGAGTCAGGGTGATTCCGTTACTTAAACACAATCTGCAGAAGTTCATACTGTATTCTTACATGGAGCGCCGTGATGACCCTTCTACTCGCACAGAAAATGTATGATAAAGACATTGTATTACAAGATATCCACATTTTAATACTTGGTATTAGTTCTACTTCTTACCGGTGCAATTGAATCCATCCCCATCATAGCCCACTAAACAATCACAAGTAAAAGATCCGATTGTGTTGGTGCAGGTTGCATTTTCGTGGCAAATCGTTGTGTTTGAACATTCGTCAATGTCTGTAAATAGAACGATATATCCTATTACACATAGCGACAACATAGTGATGTCCTTCTACCTATAAATTGAAGCGGTTGAGCATTGGGCTACAGGATCAAGGTAAAACAGACAAGGTGAATGAAAGGCGTAAGACAGATAAGATTCCTCTGCCAAGCCCAGCTGTCCTGAAAATGACCACATCTCGGTGTCCTTGCATCAGCACATTACTAGTATCCTAGAAGCACTGCCTATTGGCTTGTAAGGTTCTCATCTACGCAAAGCACCACAGCTAATATATGTGACTTGAAAACCACAAGGAGTAATTTCCACCAGCTGTCAAAGCAACAGGCAATATATAGCGATTTGTCTTTTCAATTTTGCCAAAACTACTTTGAGAATATTGATAGAAACTGTAAGAAGATGTGATCCTTCGCACCATTTTAAGAAAGTGCAAACCTCCAAGAAAGCAACACGTGTAACTATAAGCAAAAAGGACGATACTTTCAACTGATAAGGCTCTATCCCAACTCTAGCTATGATTTGAAAGAAATATTGTCTGAACCTGTGCAGTTGAAGCCGTCTCCTTCGTACCCAGCTTGACACATACATGTGTAAGACCCGTTTGTATTCGTGCAACTCGCGTTAACATGACAGGGGTCGTTCTGGCACTCATCGGTGTCTAAGGTGCATGAAATCACAACAAGGTTAACAAATGCCAGTGTTCATCAGTTGAAGAAAGCAAAAACACATCCATGAAACTGTTTGAAATAAAACTGCTATAGCATCTTCTGCCTCACCAGTCATGCTTGCTAAATATACTTAAAGCATGTAGTTAGGATTTGGAGTACCATTTTACAAAAACGTCTATGCACCCAAAGCACATCTTGTATATAACTGTACTTCGTACCAGAGCAATTAAATCCATTCCCTTCGTATCCATTCATGCAGTGACATGTGAAAGCCCCGTCGGTGTTGGTGCAGATCCCGTTTGTGTCACAGGGAAAATACCGACATTCGCCAATGTCTATATAAGTAAGTACACGGCAAAATCTACAGTAAGTCATAAACACATAAAACACATTTGTCTTGGGAGAATGACTTCACATCCTTACAGTATAGCTTTAAACACTGCAGCTGTAACACCACCACAGACATTTATGGCTATCTGTTACCATTACCATCAGTTGTAAAGCAAAAGCACTACATCTATGTATATATACTATGCAGAGAACATGTCCCAAACAACTCACAGTGTGCTTCTATTGCATTCATTACAACCGTTGATAGGCGTTTTAAAGGCAGATTAAAAATTGCTAAGCAGAACATTGATGATATATGTGGCATAGAAACTCAAATCCAGAGCTCTATCAAAAACAAGCAACCAAAATACTTTACAGTCAACAGCCCATGCATCTAATGATATTCCCACACCGCTGTAAATGGAAAACGACAAATCACAAAGACCTGTGCAGTTATATCCGTCTCCTTCGTACCCAAAGTCACACGTGCATATGTAAGACCCGTCAGTGTTGGTGCAGGTCGCGTTGGCATGACAAGGATCGGTCTGGCACTCATCTATGTCTATAGTGAAAAAAGCTTGTACGTGAATGTTCCGGAAAAAGAAAGATATAAATCTGGTATCTGTTGATGTTTCACCTGCCGTAGATTACATACATTACATTTATGTTCTGATGCTTTATATATATATATATATATATATGTGTGTGTGTGTGTGTGTGTGTGTGTGTGTGTGTTAAAGAAAACAGGCTTCAGCTGAGGGGGACAAAAAGAATTCTTCAAGTTCAAAGTAAAATATTCAACAATAGTACATGACATTAGTTGTATTTCTTACCAGTACAATTGAAGCCATCCCCGTTATAGCCCACTAAACAATCACAAGTAAAAGACCCGATTGTGTTGGTGCAGGTTGCATTGTTGTGGCAAGTCGTTGTGTTCAAACATTCGTCAATGTCTGCAAAGAGAACGAGCTATCAAGGTACTGATCATGAGGAGGGCAAACTGCTGTTACGTAGCTATAAGTTGAGACTGGTAGGTAAAAGAAGCAATGTACATCAGAGGTGTAACACAGCCGATTCAGCCAAGCACTTGACCTCATCTTACTTATGATTAGCATGATCAGCACCTTTCCCCAGATAGAAGCAGCTACTTACCGAATTCTTCACTACAACTACCACTCGTTTATGCGACGACTATAAGCCTTTGTTTTTGCTACACATGATAGTCAATATGTGTTTCCAACCCTATATTGGATATTGATAATAAATAATAATAATAATTATAATCCAGCGCAACACTTTTGACGAAGCTCCAAGAAAGCAGCACTGGCTACTACAGACAAAGATACCAATTCTTTCAACTATGAGGCTCTACCCTAAAGTTATCAGTCAAAGAACGTTTGTCTGAACCTGTGCAGTTGAAGCCGTCTCCTTCGTACCCATCTTGACACATACACGTGTAAGACCCGTGTGTATTCGTGCAACTCGCGTTGGCATGACAACGGTCAACGTCGGTCTGGCACTCATCAATGTCTATGATGTAAATATATAAATTGTTATGAAACGCCAGCGTCTGTCAGCTGGAAAAAGCATCAGAACGTAACTGACTGAACTAGAGTGCCAAGCATCTTCTACCCTAGTTAAGGCGTATATTGGAAATCTACTTAAGAGTGTGTTGAATACCGTCTAGACTGTCAAAGATCTATGTCGATCCGGCCATGTTGTACAGGACTAGAAGACATGAGATCTGGATTATCACACAGTTAAGACCCCAAGCTGTTTAAGTCTATGCGACGAAAGCAGCTACATGTATATCTGTGTCATCTGTACTTCGTACCCGAGCAATTAAATCCATTCCCTTCGTACCCATCCCTGCAGTGACATGTGAAAGCCCCATCGGTGTTGGTGCAGATCCCGTTCGTGTCACAGGGAAAATACCGGCATTCGCCTATATCTGTACATGAAAAAATAAGGAAAAAACAAACAGTCCCTGAAGAAAACCTTGCTGCAAACTAAGGCCATGGAAACATCAAAAGCCGATTGCTTTACAGTCTTACACTTATGGCACATTTATGGCGCTGGCTATCTGTGACTGATATTTGAGCAGTTTACCACATCACTATAGCTATGTCCGGGCAGGGAATATGTCACCAAAAGCTTCCCAGATGTTTAAAACTCAGATATCTATGGCAACCACCATTTCTAACGCATTCTAGGGACACGCATTTTTAAAAGGCAGATAAAAGTGGGCCTTATTTTGCTAAGCAGGACATTGATGTCTACGGCAAAGCAACTTGGGGTGTTCAAAAAATGTATGAACAGCATGTCTACAAGGGACAAAACATGGAATTACTGCCAAAGAAAGCATGTACAGCTTGTACTAGAAAAGGCTTTTTAAATGTGCGTAAGCTACAGTTGAAAGTATACGGTGAATCAGGAACCTGTGCAGTTGAATCCGTCTCCTTCGTAACCAAATTCGCACGTGCAAAAGTAAGACCCGTCAGTGTTGGTGCAGGTGGCGTTGGCATGACAAGGATCGGTCTGGCATTCGTCTATGTCTATATTGAAAAAAGCTTGTAAATGAATGGTCCGGAAAAGAAAGATAAATGCTTCCATCATCTGAGGAAAACAGAAGATGAAGAAGAAGAAGACTACGAAGTAATTAGTTCCGCATGACAACAGTACTTGGTATTAGTTGTACTTCTTACCAGTACAATTGAAGCCGTCCCCGTCATAACCCACTAAACAATCACAAGTAAAAGAACCGATTGTGTTGGTGCAGGTTGCATTGTCGTGGCAAGTCGTTGTGTTCGAACATTCGTCAACGTCTGCAAACAGAACGAGCTTTCAAGGTAATGATCATAATGACAGCAGAATAATATCCTGAGCCTAAGCAAGGAGGTGATGGAAGTACCCTTGGCCTAAGTAAGCATCAATGTAAATCAGAGGTGTAGGCAGCTATAATTCCTTTGCGACCACTGTCAAGCCAAGCACTTGTGGAAAAAACGTTCATCTCAATGCCAACGATCAGGGCATTCCCCAAGAAGCAAAGAAAATGCAACCCAGTGCGACATTATCTTCTTAAAAGCTGGAAGTTACCCAGTCCCAAATAGGCAGCGCAATGCGCACAACAGCATCCAAATAAACCACTTTCAACCCATTAAAGCTTTGCAGCTCTACTCTAGCCAAATTATAATCTAAATCCAGGCAATATATAATCTAAAGCAAAGTCGTCTGAACCTGTGCAGTTGAAGCCGTCTCCTTCGTACCCAACTTGACACATACATGTGTAAGACCCGTTTGTATTCGTGCAACTCGCGTTAACATGACAAAAGTCGACGTCGGTCTGGCACTCATCGATGTCTAAAATGAAAGGGAAAAAATGTTTACATTAATCAAGTAAAATCACCACCTGTCCATACTGCCTTTCTAAATGTAATCCTAGCCTGCATTAACATGGTCCCTCCCCACTATCTGGGAGGCTAAATAAGTGTTAAAATAATTACTACTGTAACAACATACAGAATTACTTGGCAAGGTTGTACATCTTACCAGTACAATTGAAGCCATCCCCGTCGTATCCATCCAAGCACTCGCACATGAAAGACCCGGCGGTATTAGTACAGTTCGCATACATGTCGCAAGGGGAAGTCAGGCATTCATTGATGTCTGCATGAGAAAATGAACATGTGGTTTATGCGAGAAAAAATACTTTAAATGTCTGAGTGTATACACTTCGGTGACGTATGCATCATGGTGTCTATAACGCCCATGTTTGCAGCGCTAGAAAACCAAGGACGTTCAACACAAGGCCTTGTGTTGAACGTCCTGCCTTGTGTTGAACGTCCTTGAGAAAAGGAATTTGCCATGATCCTTCTACTAATTAGAGCATGTAATTATAAATAAACAATGGCGCTTCTATGCAGCCGAAAGATAGGCCATGCTCTACTAGATGTGTACATATAAAGCTCTTCATGAGCAACTGGCCCAAGTACAGAAGCATTAAAAGATTTAATGGGTTTCGGAGGAAAGAATTTGATCAAGGAAATATGTGTCAGAAATTGTGTCAGGAATGTGTCAGAAACTGTGTCAGGATTTGTCTGCCTGTACAGAGCATTCCGCCCCAGGGCTATTCCCCCATGTATTTCCTTTCTTCGTCCCAATAGTTAAGTTCGTTAAGCTTAAGTGACTGAATCCTTGTGGCAGACTTTTCGCTACGGCTCCGTACTAGATCGACTCGATTAATCGAGGGAAACTTCCTTGTTCGAGAAGATTAAGGATAACCTAAGAAATTCTCAGATGCATTGTGGTGTGTCTTACTTAATTATACTTATAAGATTACAGCCGGTATAACATTACAGTAATAGGCCGGTCCGACCAGTGGCAAAACCACAAGCCAATTAACAAACTGACAATTGACAAACTGACAATTAACAAACTGACAATTGACAAACTGACAATCATCTAACGTTGCATCAGGCGATATTAGGACGATACAAAAAGTCGATTTTTTTGGCCATCTCTTTACAAAGTAAGTGAATGTGAATGGGAATTTGAAGTGAATGTGCCAAAACATGACGCCTTACGAGTGTGTTTAAAAGCTAGAAACACAGCTGTCAGCCATGTTTGTTTACGTTCTGGTAGTCAGTGCGCCTCGTGTGAGCTGTTTTTAACGCCAACCATAAATGTCAGAAATGTGAGCTAAAATGTGCCTGCATAGAGTCCATTCCAAGTCACCGCGCGGGTTTTTTAAATTATATTTTCTATTTTTTCAAATAATTCGAAAATCTTATTAATATTCTGAAATTATGATAAAAATGTAAGTACCTAAGTAGCATTTTTCGAAAATGTTACAAGTTTTTTTCATTTACATTTTAATTTTTTGGTACAAAATGTTACATACTTGAGATATCAACATATATCGGATAGTTTATATATGTATGTACCCGGAGAACATTTCTTTTTTTAAACCAGATTGCTTTATTCAATAAGCATATACAGTGAGTCATTTTTCTCATCAAAACTGAATTGATCCTAGCATAGTCTTGTCTTGTCAACAAGAGGGTTAATATTTTTGCTGCTTCGATAAAAAAACGCAAATAATTCATAACAAGCGTGTGGCATTTTATAGTACACTAGCTTATGACAAAGATAATTTACCAATTACCAATTATATGCGCAATGTATAATGCATTGAATGTCTACAAATTTATTCGCATTGCTCCCGACACGAACCTAGAAAAAGGGCAGGTAAAAGAATTTCGGTTTATCATTACTTCTGGGAAAGAGGGTTAGTGGCCAACGTTTGTATTTTTAACGTTCGCAGCTGTATCGCACGATGACCTGTTATACGTTTTGCTATTGGGTGCAGATGATGGGATCTCCTTTTTGTAATTGCATACGTATACGTGTTTTCGGGCGTCGAAGTACTAGTAATAGATGTTGACGGCCTCTGGACACCCCACTCTGGGTCAAACGGGCGCGTCATCTTGCTGTGAAGAATGCATATACTCTCCAAGCAGAGGTTGTGGGGAAATGATCGTTACCTTTTTATATATGGCCGTTTTTTTGTCCTGACCCCCACCGTCGGTGGCCGCGGAGCTTCTCTGGCTAATGGATACTGACTGGCCAATTTGATACTGTCTTTTTGCCGCCGATAGGGATCTGCTTGGAGATTAGAATGCATATGCCTGAGGGGTTGCGATACCTCTATAGCAGTGGAGCAGAGACACAAAAGAGAAATAGATCCCACTCGATTAGCTGAAAGTTCTCATGTCTGACACCTCCCACTTTGCGCATAGCGTATAACAATTTGCCATATGCACGCCTATGGTAGCCTAAACGATCATCATCTACCTGTGAACTGTACTTGACGTAACAACTTTCATATATTATACAAAAATAAACAACTGAGGTATGAAATCATCGATTCCTTTTTGTTGGTAGGAGAACTGAAGCATCCAACGTCCTCGTCTCCATCAGTCTTCTTACCGCCATTTTCACATTCCTGATCCGGCCTGTGGATGGTCACACGCCCGATGAAACACTCGAGATCAGCGTCAATGGCTTCAAAGCTTGTAGTGGAAGGTTGTGGAAGAACAGGGATTGCTATGTAGTTTCTGCTTTTGTTTGTGAGCTTCCCCTTCTTTCCTTTGATACTTTGAACCTTGTTGAGCTCCTTGAGCTGATTTTGCGCGATTTCCCCTTCCCTGGCGATAGCCGCCATGTTGTGTTCCAGATTGTCGTCGACCTCTCGGAGAAGGACATCTCGTCGATGGAGCAGCTTCTGGACCCGGAGGTCGTACTGATCACTGATTCTTTGCTTAGTTTGGAGATGGTTTTCCGTTGAAGATTTTATCAAATTGTCAAGATTCCTCAGAAAGTCCTCGGTTCTTTGTTTGGAATCCACTTGTTTCGCTGGTGTTCCCCCCAGACATCTCTTGAAGATGTCAACTGCACACTGACGACACTGCAATGCCAGCCACTTTTGGGGATGCTCCGAGCACTTTTCAAAACTTTTCCGGCGTGTTGGGACGGCCTTGACAAGACTCAGGCCGACGACGGCCTTCCCCTGTTGCGGAATGGTGCAGCTTAAAGCCGGCTCCCTCGCGGGGGACTCACAGATCGGACAGACCAGGGGCGATTGCCTGCGCGCCAGGTCATCCAGGCAGGCTCCACAGAAGACATGCCGGCAGGGCAGAGTTCTGGGCACCTGGAGAGCCTGCCGACAGATCCCGCAGATGGAATTGTCCTCACTGCACGATGAATCGGTCTCGTCTGTTTCAGAGTGCGCCCACATTTTATCACTGAATGGTTCGGTTGCTACAGGATTCTTGTTGACTGAAGAAAGTGAAAGTACTCGAACAGGTTGGATCACTCCCTAAAACGCGCGACTAATTATACCGGTTAGTAGTATAATTAGTATCGTGCAGGTTGGACCAAAGCCGCAGTCCCTGTGTACTGATGAGGCGTTTACAAAAAAGGTCGTACACGGAAAGGACACTCGAGGTAGTGGGCTACCCCCAGTATTATTTAAAAGAACGTTCCTACGACAAAATGTGGAATACTCTACTGCTAATGAACAGGCATACCTGCAACTACAGCCAAAAGACCTCAGAAATACTATGCAACTACATGTACACCCAAGCTCCAGCCAAACTACAACGACAAATGATGTTAACCTGTGCAGTTCAAGCCGTCTCCTTCGTACCCAACTTCACACGTGCATATGTAAGACCCGTCAGTGTTGGTGCAGGTGGCGTTGGCATGGCAAGGATCGGTCTGGCACTCATCTATATCTATTCGGAAGAAAACAAAGCCTCAAAACATGCAATTAACTGTTCAGCTATTTGGCAACGATCTGCAAATAACCATACTTCACAGTCATAAGGCTGTGTTAGCTACAGCATGATTCATTTTTTCCACACAATGGGAATATCGGAAAATTGTTGACAAGATCCTCCTACTGTAAGAAAACATGATCCGGGTTTCAGAGCAAACGAGACCAATCATGTTTCATACTACTTGTAACTTTTTACCAGTGCAATTGAATCCATCCCCACTGTAGCCGTTCACACACTGACATGTAAAAGACCCGTCTGTGTTAGTGCAGTTTGCGTTGATGTCGCAAGTGGAATTCTGGCATTCATCTATGTCTGGTTACGAAAATGGAGAGATAAAATACGCGTTGAATACTGTATTGTGCAAAATTATTTTGACAAAACTTTAAATTTCAGTGAAATATAAAAAAAGTAGCTACTGATCTACGCCCAGCTTTTTAACATAAAAGGGGGCACCACTACTTTGCTATGTATGTGTGACATCTAGCTTCAAAGTCAACGACACTCTATGATTTGAAGGACAAAAAATACAAGACAACGCGATTTATCATACTAATAAGGGCGAAGAATAGCGATCTGAACAATTCTTTAGTAACCTATGCAGTTGAAGCCGTCTCCGTCATAGCCGACTACACAGTCACACGTGAAAGAACCAATTGTGTTGGAGCAGGTTGCATTGTAGTGGCAGGTTGATGTGTTTAGACATTCGTTAATGTCTGCAAGGGAAACCAACTGTCAATGGTGATGGTCTTTGTGTCACCAGATTCTACTGTTTGCCAGTTGGAGTGGTACGCAATGCAAGATCAGTCAGAATACCGACTTAGACGCACAAGTGCTGGGCTGCTATCACCCCATAGCTCTCTGATTATGATATTATAAAGCAGTCCTAAAGAGCATCTCATCATGATGTCTGCAAAATGGAAGAAGCATATGCTGGCTGGAGTCAAAAAGCTCACATTTATGAACAATGCCACTACGAAGCTGTCTGGTTTCTGGTTGTAAGCTGTCACGTGAGCCACTGTGCAAGTGAATATGTTATGTTTTCCAAGCATTGCTTCAAAGCATTGCTTCATTATTACTGGCGGCAGAATATAGTCATCTATTCTACTGCTAATGACCAGACCAAGGGACCACAAAAACGACAACTACATCCAGCTGTAGCAAGACCTTGAAATACTATGCGCCAACTCCAAAGCTCCAGCCAAAATACGACGACAAATGGTATGAACCTGTACAGTTGAAGCCGTCTCCTTCGTACCCAACTTCACACGTGCATATGTAAGACCCGTCAGTGTTGGTGCAGGTCGCGTTGGCATCACAAGTATCGTTGTTCTGACACTCATCTATATCTATTACAGTTTAAGATAAAACTTGTACTGTATACTTTGTATGGAGAGTCGACTGCAAATGTTTCATGTTGGGATGCATATTCCTTCTGGTAAGAAAGGAAAAGAACATTCTTGTTAAACGGCCATAGCCGAAGAATAGACCGGTTTTGATCGTTTGTCTTACCTGTGCAATTGAAGCCATCTCCTTCATATCCGTCCAAACATTGACACGTGAAAGACCCGTCGGTATTGGTGCAGTTCGCGTTGATGTCGCATGTAGAATTCTGGCATTCGTCTATGTCTGGTTAGGAAAATAAAGTCAGAGAAAAATAAACCATATAAAAACTGAACTCTACGTATTAAAACTTGATCTACCGAAAAGATTTATATGTACATGTCAGCGAAAATGAAAATAGAGACATAAATATGGACAGCTTAAGCTTTCTGAATATAAAAAGAAACAAGAAAGTGAAAGTGATCTCGATCCAGTTTAGCTCATTGAAGAGCTAATCTTCCACTGGTCGTGACAGAGAAGACAGACGCTATATACAGTATTTACAGGTTCATTGTACCGGGGAAATTCCCCTAGCTCTTTTCGACAAGCACAATGAACAGTGGACCACAGTTAACGTCCCGTCCGAAGGACTGCGACCCTAAACAGTAGCGTGCATGTCGGGTGAGCGACATCAGCCGGGATTCGAACTCCCAACCTCTTAGTCCAGAGGCAGGATCGCTCTATATTGCTAAGTACGTGTCATGCTTTGTAATAAATACACATGGCCGTCAATACCTTCAAAGATAAAGAATACAAGGCAATACGATCTACCATCATTCTTACAGGACTTCTAAGACTAGCCTGTACTGACCTGTGCAGTTGAAGCCATCTCCGTCATAGCCGACTACACAGTCGCAAGTGAAAGAACCGATTGTGTTGGTGCAGTTTGCATTGTAGTGGCACGTTGACATGTTTTGACATTCGTTAATGTCTGCAAGGAAAACGATCTGTCAATGTAACGGACGTCGTGACTGTAGATTCTACTACTTGTTAGCTGGAGTGGTATGCAATGCAAGATAGATAAAAATGACAGACCTAAAGGCAAGTTCTCCGGCCATGGTGAGGAGTTTTAAAAATGCACCTTATCGTCAGTACATCATGTTAAGTAGCAAATTCTGGCTGAAATCAAAGAATGTGCAGTGCCACTTTCCAGTTGTAAGCTAGGATGTGAGCCACTGTGAACGAAATGAAGACTGAGGATAACGCGTGGACGTGTCCAGTTCATTACCAGCATTATACAAGCAAAAGACCATCATTTACCACAGTGCGTAGACATGTACATGCTAATGTCAATGGCCAGCCTTCCAAGATACAAAAATTAATAGCAGCTACAACCAAAGGTAGGAGGGCGAAGAAACCAAGCTCCAGCAAAACTACATCAACAAATGGTGTGAACCTGTGCAGTTGAAGCCGTCTCCTTGAAAACCAACATCGCACGTGCATGTGTAAGACCCGTCCGTGTTGGTACAGGTGGCGTAGGCATCACATGTATCGTTCTGCAGCTGGCACTCATTTATATCTATAATTATAGAAATTGAGAGATAAATCTTATACTATGTACACAAAAGAAGTTACTCAAGCAACTGGATATGATTTTGGAAACGTCAGACGTTTCATGAAGCATCCACTACCTTGCGTCAGTGACACTAGAGGAGTTGTCAGAAAAGCAGGTTTATAAGGACGAACTATTGATTGATATTCAAGTAAGTAAACTTTAAGGCAAATTTACTGTGTTGTATGTAAAGTATTATGGACAGCCATTCCTTCTGCTACAAGACAGAACAACAAAATTTTTGATAATTGTTAAACGGCCATAGCTGAAAAATATGTCTGTTTTAGTCATTTGTCTTACCTGTGCAATTGAAGCCATCTCCTTCATAGCCGTCCCAACATTCACATGTGAAAGACCCGTCAGTGTTGGTGCAGGTTGCATTCGCGTCACACGGATAGCTCTGACATTCATCTATGTCTGTACACAGAAAATGAACGTAAAGAGATATTTTTGATCGTGGCTAAGAAAAGCGCCCGATCACGGAACGCCTGAAAAGAAGGCTAAGTGCTATCCCAGTAAAACTGCAGAATTTGCAATTAACCATGCTCGCTTTGGGTCAATAATTATAATAATTGCGCAATGCTGAAATCTGTAGTAACCTGTACAGTTGAGACCGTCTCCGGCATAGCCAACTAAACATCGGCACTCATAAGAACCTGGCGTGTTGACACAGGTTGCATTGTCATGACAGGTCGTGTTCAGACATTCGTCGATATCTGCAAAGACAGTAAGCTTTCAAGTTAAAGAACGCAATGGTGGAATCTGTGTCACATGGGGGACAGTCTCAAGAAATTGAAAGTTTCATTTCGTTTATTGATACAGGGATACAACATATAACCCCAAAGGGCGGTTTCCATTGTGCCCTGGACTGTAAGCAACCCCAAAGACATAAAAGAATAAAAATACAACATAAAGTAAGTGCTGAATAAACAAACTTATGTAAAAACACACTGATTGCTACTAAAATAGGCCCAAAAGAAGGTATTAGAAAATTTACAAGGAGTAACAATCAAATCGAGGAGGAGATATATCTTGGATAACCTAGACGTACCAAAACTGTATCTAAACCATTCTAACACAATCCAAAATACGACATATGTTATGTGAACCTGTGCAGTTGACACCGTCTCCTTCGTACCCAACATGGCACTCACACAGGTAGGACCCGATCGTGTTGGTACAATTCGCATTGGTATGGCAAGGATCAATGGTCTGGCACTCATCTTCATCTACAACAAAAGAAACATTTGGAGATGGTCAGCAACAAATCCCAAAAATAGTTTCATCAGGTTGGTAGTAGGACACAGGAGTTTTCTTTTACACAACCAAGATTGTATCAGCTAAGTTGCTTACGTTTTGATTGTGGAATTGTGTTCTCGTCGAAAAAGCGCCGCCCACATCCGGTCCGTGTATTTACCGAAATATACGAATTGTACGAAATACAGTGCGAAATACACAAGAAGATGGTGATACCTACCGAAATACATAATGATTTGATGAGTAAATATCACAGGCTGTTATATTTCAGCATAAGATAATGTATATATAGCCCCGGCGACAAGAAAAAGACAGAAAAGTGACTTGCCACCATCACGATGCCGTCTCGGCGCCATCTTGTTTTCGCACGATGTTTGTTTTTAGCGGTATTTGAGTCATTTACACACGAAGAGTGTTGAAATCTACCGAAAACCTGAATGATTTGATGATCAAACATCACAGTGTGCTATATGTCAGCATAAAATAATGTATATGTGGCCCTGCTGACAAGAATATTGGTGAGCACGGTCGGCCCGGCCGCCATCTTTGTGTTTACTAAACACACACGCCATGTGTTTGTTTGTTTTTGTCCGAGTCATTTACACACACAAAGAGTGGTGAAATCTACCAAAACACAGTAGTAATAAGTTAACATCACAAGGTACAATATTTCGACAAGAAATAATGTGTTACATAGGCATGTGACTGTAGAAATGCAACAGAAAATACTCCGCAAAAGTGTATTTCGCACTGTATTTCGTACATTTCGTGTATTTCGGTAAATACACGGACCCCCTACATCAGCTACATATAGCAATGAGAAGCAGAACTCCAGTCAGAAGCTCTGAGGAAGGTGTCTGATAGACACCGAAACATAGCACTTAAGTGAGACAATCTTGGTTGTGTAAAGAAAACACCAGTGTATATCAGCAACAACTGTTTTGTGATATGTGACACCATGCTCATACTTCATCATCTAATAACAAAACACAAACATGGGAATTTTGAACACAATGGCATGACTAAGGTTAAGTTACGACTTAAAAGATGTACTCCTTACCCGTGCAGTTGAACCCGTCTCCCACGTAACCTACAATACATTCACACGTGAAGGAGCCGTTGGTGTTGGTGCAGTTTGCATTGACGTCGCAAGGATCTGTTAGACACTCGTCAATTTCTGAAAATGGAAATAAAATTGAAGAGAAAACAGTATGATACGAAACTAGCACTGGTGAAAAATCAAGCATTCTTAGAATTGTACGTAAAATTGCATTTTCTTCAATAGAAATTACCAACCTGTACAGTTCAAGCCGTCGCCCTGGTAGCCTTCAAAACATTGGCAAGAGTAGCTCAGTTCGTCTATGTTCGTGCAGTTTGCATATGGGTTACATGGGGAGCTCCGGCATGGGTCAAAAACTGCCAAAATGGAAAAGAAAATACAATATAAAGTAAGTATAGTGTCCATGATTGAGTATTTGTCGTTATTTTAGCAAATCTTCAATTACTTTTTACAATTTGCAAAGCAACAGCACAACGTTTACCTTCACCTGGTCTAGCCCAACAAACTACTCCACTGTTTACTGTTACTCAAAGTCATATATTCATAATGTATTAGCACCCCCTGCAACTCTGTTCTGCTTCATGATGTAACCCAACACCACAATGGTGTTGCTACTGTATTAGTTACCATGGTGACAGACGTCTGGTCCAGGTGATTGACCATATTTGTTTGAAGAAGAAAAGGAAGAAGACACCGGGTAAAACAATAATGTTTTCTTTCTACAAAGGTAAACATAAACAGGCTAAGAGGTGCTTACTGTATTCGCAGATGAATCGATGATCATCTGCACAGTCTTCAATCCACCAGTCCCACCGCGGAATCAAACCAGGAGCCATCAGGACACAGTCACTGTCATCTGCGTTGGCCAAGTCCACATTGTTTCCCGGGAAGCGGTTGAACGATCCCAGGGGAGTGTCATCGGAGTACAGGAACACTGCCTCATTCGCGCGATCATCTAAACCTGTTTAGGGAATTAGCATTCTTTGATGAATAGATAAATAAACTTGATCGCATAACAATAGTACATTGTACGAAGTATGGCAGCTACCGCTGCATGAGGCTACAACAAGTAAATTTTAAGATTCATATAGGAACTACCTTACCTCCTTTACATATCAATGACTATATGAACCTTGTCATGTTCAACTGTTTTTCCCAGTTGCTCCTACGTATGAGTTAACGAATTCTGTTACTTCATTAGTGATGCTGAAGAAGAGTGGTGGATGTCACTTGAAACGTCCGGAAATTATCTCCGTAATTTATCCAGTAGTTTTATTTTCCTATAAATATGATTTGAATATTCTAAAAAAATTTCACACATACCTATCCAGAAACTGACAGACTGGTTGATGTATGTCAGGATGTGATTCAGAAGAAACTGGTGAGTCTCATTGTTCATGACCCTGATAAGACGACCATCGTATAGGACACAGCTATCTTCCGCACCCTCGTAGTCTGTGGAACTGTTGCTGAAGAGGTAACAGCTTCTGTTGAACGGCACGTAGCCTGGATGGCCCTGGCACGCTGGAAGTGAAAATATCACAATGGGACGGGTTTGTGGATTGCTGGTTCTTGGGGGTTATCATCAGCGATGCAAGTTTTTTTATGCCAACATTTCATGACTATAGACACGGCATCAACGCAGAGGACAAATACAGGACAGGACAATACTCATTTTTACTCGAGTTAAGGGAGGAAATTCATGTAAAGTGCCTTTTCCAAGGGCACAGGATCGGTGGCATGTCAGGACTCAACCCGGGACCTCTTGGTTCCGAGTCGAGCACTCTGCAGTCACGCCACACGACCCCACAGCGATGCAAGTGCAACTGCAATTTTTTTTTTACTGGAGGGAAGTCATGGTAGAAATCGTACACTTAACTTTTATTTAACACTCATCTTGCAAAATGAATATAATTTTATTTATATTACTTATAACAAATGGCTTGCCCCTATAGCTAATCTTTGCTGATTTCCAAGGAGGGGGCAGTGAACGATAAAACGATACAACATGCAAAACCAAAATACACATAGATAACATAACATGGGTACAAAAATAGTAACACTGAGAAACATGAAAAAGAATTGTAGCCAACAAAAGTAGATAATAACAAGAACAACACAACCAAGTCGTCAAGTCATAGGCGTAGTCCAAAATCAGGTACAAATGCCGTTTTTAATTTGAAAATTGAATTTTGTGTTGGAAGCTACTTACAGAATGGTGGTGCCGTGGAGACTGGCATGGTGATGACCGTTGTAGCGTTTGTAACGTTCGGTGCGATGGTGGTTGGTGCTGCAGTAGTTGTGGTTGGTACTGCAATTATGTGCAATAGAGACTACAATGGCTACTTTCGTCCAGTCACACATTTCGTCTTAAAATTTATTTTTTATCTTATCTATTTCCTTGTTACAGATGTTTTAGAGGTCATTTTCTTTGTGAGCTGTTTATCATAAGTTACCTTTACTAATAAATCAGTCGTTTAGCTTGACTTGGAATTCGAACTGCTGATGTATTCATTGTAAAGGTACCTAATACCAGCTCAGAAAAGAATAGAAATAGTTATGCCTTCAAGTACCAGAGTTATCAACCAAGGATTGAGGTGTTCAAAAACTTAATATTCTTTCCTAGAACTATTGCAGAGTGGAACTCTTTGTTACCAAGTACAGTAGGGGCATTATCATTAAGATAGCTTTAAACAATGTTTAGAGTTAGATTTTCAAGGGTTAGGTGTATGTGTAACAAGTCGTTCGGTGTAATGTAGCCATAGGCCGCCGCGTTGCATGCCTGGTGTGTTATACAGAAGCTGGCTATACAGTACAGATACAGAAAGGATGCCTTGAATGATCTTACCAAACTCGCAGATGTACAGGTAATCTGGATCTGAGCATCTCTCCGGAACCCAGTCCCACGGCGTTGTCAGTCCCTTAGCCATCAGTACACAGTCCTTCCCTTCCTGGTTATAAGGGCCCACATCCCCAGCCGGCCAGCGGTTGAAGGATCCCAAGGCAGTTCCATCCGAGTAGTTGAACTGCCCCTCTACCGCCCTGTCATCTAAACCTGCAGAATACACCAATCAGAGAGCTGTTTGAAAACAAACTCAATTCGGTTGCATTCATGTGTATCATATGATATTTGGCTTATTTTAACACTGTCGCAAACATAGCTGCCAGAATGGCTGAATTATGTTGTGAAATGACAACAAATTCAGTAAGAGACATATTTATATGTAAAACACTTAAGGACAGGAACAATCTATACAAAAGATTGCCGGACTAAGAGATACCAGTAAAAAGTAAGAATAGTTCGACAAGTTAAAATATAACAGCACAACTATCAAGGCCTAATTGTCAGGCCTAATTGGTACAAATAGTCAAGAGCAAACGGATGTCTCACTGCATGTGGTTCAAAAGTTCTATCATACATTGTATATGACATGTTCATCGATGACAATTGCTCTTATTGCAAGTGCCATATACAGACATCTCCAAGTCAACCACATAAGCACTTGGTACGTCGTCTCTTTTACTTCTTGAGAAATGTGTATCCACCAATTAGTATTATCCTGGCACATCAGTTTAGTAAATTAGGTTCCTACCTATCCAATAACTCGTTGCTCCATCTGTGTAGGTTTCAATGTAGTCAACGAGGAACTGGTGTATGCCGTCGTCAAAGACCCTGGCCAGACGGCCGCTGTTGGCGATACAGCCTTGCTCGGCGCCCGGATAGTCCGTGGTGGCGTTACTGAAGTGATAGCAGTCGTCTCCGAAGGGCACGTAATCATCTAACCCTGGGCATGCTGAATGGTGGTATGATAATAATGATAATAAATGGTTTATCGAACAAACAATACCAGTGCAATCGCAGCCTTTTATAGAGCTGAATTGATGCAGGGTTTACAATGATCACATAATACACATGATCATATTTGCTCCTCCCACACTTTTGTGGAACTGTCGCAAGGGTCTGTGCGGCTTCCATTCAGCGCCACCAGGTGACCTCAACACGATCACTCGATGCTTTCTTTCTATATT